GACGGTGGTATAAAAGGTTTGATGCTTTCATGACTACACATGGATTCTCGAGGAATGCATTTGATAGTTGTGTATATCACAAGAATATGTCTGGTAACTCTATGATTTATCTATTGTTGTATGTTGATGATATGTTTATTGTTGCTAACAACATCACATAGATAAATATTTTGAAGAAACTGTTGAGCAAGGAATTTGAGATGAAGGATTTGGGAGTTGCAAATAAAATCCTTGGAATGGAGATTTCAAGAGAAGACGGTGTTGTACATCTTTCTCAAAAGAGGTACATCAAAACTTGAGAGTCTCAATATGCATATGAGCAAGCCTGTAAATATATTGTTAGCTTCTAATTTCAAGATTTTTTAGAGTAACAAATGCCTCAGTCTATGGATGAGGTGGAGCATATGTCAAAGGTTCCTTATGCCAGCACAGTTGGTAGCATTATGTATGCTATGGTGTGCACACGTCCAGATATTTCTCAATCTGTAAATGTGATGAGCAGGTACATGGAAAATCCAGAAAAAATACATTGGGAAGCTGTGAAGTGGATATTGAGATATCTCAAAGGAGCTCCTGATATTGGTCTGACCTTTCAGAAAAGTGAAAGTATTTCAGTTGTAACACCTCAGATTCGAGAAAGGAAAAAAATTCTAGATTTTCAGAAGTTGCAAGTGCCACCGACGAAAGCCACCTACGGACCGTCAGTCAACTCCATCGATGGGCCAACAAACTTTCAGTTTCACACTTCAGATTTCAGCCTTCAGTTGCGAACGACGGTCGACCAGTACGGACCGTCAGTTGACTCACGACCCGTCAGTCAACTCCGTCGATGGGCCAGTCAAATTTCAGTTTCACACCCCAAATTCTAGCCTTCAGTCACGAACGATGGTCGACCAGTATGGACCGTCAGTCGGCTCACGGTCCGTCAGTCCCATCCATCGGTCATTTCGACAGTAGTTAAGTCGGGGGTCTTTTGGTCTTTTCCTTTTTTGTTGGACCCCTAAACCTCATCGTTTTTACCCTAAATTACATGGTTTTGGTCAATTTTAGCCTAGAAACATAACTAGAACTTACCTAAGTCAGATCATTAATCAAACTTAGAGAAATTAGAGCTTGAGAGAAGAAAAGAGGTCAAGAACCCTAGTTCAAGAACACAACAAGAATCCATCAATTTCAGCTCCGAAATCGAAAGATTTCTCTGTGGAATTCGTCACCAAGTATGTGGGATTTCACTTATGGATTCCTTTCACCCATTAGATCCCTAGAATTCAGTTTGATTCTTGATTCCCTTATTATAACTAGACCTAGGGTTTCTAGAACTTCAGCAAATTAACATGAATTAGTTATTTAAACGTTCCAAATCAGATTATTATGTTATTACTCAGTTTATTGCATGAATTTCAAAACCCTAGCTAAGTATTTCTTTAGTTCTTGCATTACATATGTTATGTCAGATATTTTAGTTATTCAATTATACATGCCTCAGTTATCAATGCATCATTATCAGATAAATTATTGCATTCTCAGTTTGCATGTTCAGTTTTGAGCTATCCAGTATCATAGAAACTTAGTCATAATGTGTCAAATACTTAATCTATTAGGAGTAGCATAATACTGAGTTGGACTAGGGTCAGTCACCCATATTATCCCAGAACTACAAGCCACGTAGGTGTAAGTCCCCTCTGTGGACAGCATTTAGTGATCACGCCAGTCGTGCCTCTATACCTATGGCAGGGTATATTGGGTCCTCTCGATGGGACGTATACATCGGAATCCACATTTAGCTCATGTGGTTTTATGGTCGGTTATCAGTAGCTCCCACAGTTTAGTCAGATTCTATTGCATTGACCTCATTTAGAATTCAGTCAGTATTTAGTCTTAGCATGTTATAAATTTGGTCATTGCAACCAGTTAGCTCAACATTCAGTATCTATATAATGTTCAGATCATACATTTGCTTATTTGCTTGCTCAGTTATATGTTTTTATTCAGCTTTACTCTATCCTGCATGCTCAATACCTTTCAAGAACTGACACATACTCCGCGCTACATCTTCTCGTGATGTAGGTTCAGGTTCTCAGCATTTAGATCCCGCATAGATCGGTTTTGATCTTCGGCTCAGTAGTATCAGTGGTGAGTCCTCGTTCTTCGAAGACAATAGTCATGAGTTTCTTTTCAGTACTTTTAGTCTTTAGTTTCAGTTTTGCTAGACTTAGCGGGGGACTGTCCCAACACGTCTAGTCAGTAGAGGCTATATTTTCAGACATAGTTAGATTCAGCTTAGTGTTTTGAGTTGATATCCTTTGTATTGAACTCATCAGTTTTCATATATTTTAGATTTAGTATATGGGTTTTTCCCCATCATTTCAGTTTATTTTATGTTTTATGCTTCCGCACTAGTTTTGTTATCATAGTATGGTTAGTTTATGCCAGCAAGATTAGCTTGGGGTCACTTATGATCCTAGGTCCCATGTCCGCATCTCAAGGGTAACTCGGGGCATGACATCAGTTCTCGGTTATGCAGATTCTGACTATGCAGGGGATTTTGATAGAAGGAGGTCCACAACTGGATACATCTACTCTCATCGGTAGTGTCGTTAGTTGGAAATTGACTTTACAGTCGATTGTCGCTTTGTCTATAATAAAGGCAGAATATATGGCAGCAACAGAGGCAGTGAAAAAAGCTATCTGGTTGAAAGGTTTGGTGGCAGAATTGAGTTTGGTTCAGTTGGAAGCAATATTAAGATGTGATAGGCAAAGTGCTATTCATTGATTAAGAATCGAAGATTTCATGAGCATACCAAACACATTGATGTCATATTTCATTTTATTCGAGATATCATTGAAGATGGAGATATCAAGGTTGAGAAGGTTATCACAGACGAGAACGTTGCAGACATGTTGACCAAGATAGTCCTGCTTGCAAAGTTTGCACACTACAAGGACTTAGCGGGAGTATGCATCAATTGATGCAACTCTGAGAGAACAACTGCTAGGTGGAGCTAGCATGTTCAACAAAGGTTTGATTCTTCTTGTTTCTTACAACGGGATGGCCCGGTAATCTTAGAAGTTTTGGCCGGAGTTCTTTATACGCATGCTCGGAATGCAAACCAAGGTGGAGATTGAAAGAGTTGGTTTGGTCCTTGTGGAATCAAACTCAATGGAAGATGAATTAATATGAAGATTTGGTAGGAAGATAATTAGTACAAAATAAAAAGTCAAGATAGTATCTTAGTAGGTGAAATTAGGTAAACCATAAAATGGTTTCACATGTTTAACCTTGACATTTTTTATACATAGTGATGTCATGAATGACATCAATAGGAAAAATTCATTCCTATAAATAGGTAGTTCTTAATTCATTTTCATGGCATCCTCTCACTCGCCTTCTCACTTTCTAAGACATTTGATGTTCTCTCTCATATAGTATTTCACTTGTATTCTTTATACACTGAAATAAATATTGGTGCAGTTGTTCTTTGGTGGACGTAGGATCATTTTGATCTGAACCATGTTAACTATTGTTATTCTTTTTTATTCTTTATTTTCACGTTTCCGCTAACACTACCCAACTACCCTACTTTTGTAATATTAATTTTGCACCTAATTACTTCATACTTAATCGTAAAATATATATAGTCATTGGCTTGACTCAATAGATTTTTCAAAAAAAAATTATCGTCTGTTGAGAGCATCATTTTGTGTTGAAAGGCCACAAAATAAAGCGTCGTGTTGAGTAAATTTATGTAGAAAATATATTTTACATACTAAATTTGAAAATAATAGTCTCGGATCCGGGGTGATGAAAATGACAAGTCAATAGCCAATTAATCTATACCTAAAGTCCCACCTCCTAAACCTACTAATATGGTACTAGTATATATGGTTGCACTCCAATATATCTTCTAACTTTTTATCCTAATTTGTATTCTTCACACCTTACGATAATGTTTTTAAAAAATATCAAAATTTAACTAAACCGTACTGATATCAAAGAGAATTCAAGCGTCTAATTTTAATGATGTAAAATAAAATAATAAAAAATTGATATGATACAAATTTTATAAAATAATCGATCGAACCTAACATTAACACCCCTACCCTACACGTATCTAGATACTATCTTCAATTATCTGTATTTCTTCTCTCTTTTTCTCTATATAATAGATACTTCATATAGCAATGACAAATCCAGGAGACGCAAGAGTTGAATAGACATAAAATAAGAAACAGTCAAACCAAAGAGGTAATTTTGTACCTCAAATTGAAGAACATGACTCAAATGGATAATCATTTTATTTATAAGATTCTTAGTCATTGTTATTTATTTATTTTCTTATCGTCAATCAATATTTAATTAATTTGATACTAACTTTACAGGAATATCTCATTTTGAAAGGTGAGTCTACTTTAGGATGTAACCTTGAAGCCTTTAATTAAGGAGGATGGAGTAATTACCACTTAACAACAACTTTTGTTGTTTACTCATGGTTAAAATTAGTTTGTTTTTTTTTTTGAAATGGTGTACCACCTACAATTTTAATTTACTTTTACACAATGTCCACCCTGTAGATTATACCTATTGAATACTTGATTATGGTTAAAATGTTCCTATTAATTATGTTTTAGACGATATAGTTGTTAGACATTTGATTTTTTTGCATTTGACATGAAAATTGCTGTCTGAAGAAATTTTGTCGATATTTTCATAATTTTTTTGTTTCTTTTCAAAGTAGATTCTGAAGAAATTTTGTCGATTTTCAAGAGCTCATCTGCTCTCCATTAATTAATAAGTGTATCTTTCATTTTTATTTTATTTTTAAAGTTCGATTTCAGTATTTTATGATATTTATTGCTTTGTTTATTTTTCTTTCCAAATCAAATTTTATAATGAACATTTTGCTTTGGATTAATGATAAAATAATAGCCACAGTATTTAGGAATTGAAATTACAAAGAATGTGTCTTTCGTAGGAATTAGCTAGGGTTGAAGAAAAAGGGATGACACACTCCATTAAGATTACCTCAATAAATAATCAAATTCCAATGGTAACTATGGGTTTACACCTTTTAGATATTTTTAATTTGAATTAGGTCCGGAGGGGTAAAGAAAACAGGTTGGGTGAGGTAAGGTTTAAAGTCATGTGGCATTTTTAAAATTAAAATAAAATAAAATTAAGCTATTGTTTTAAATTTATTTTGTTAAACCAAAAAGGTAAATATGCATAATTTATTAAACGACGAAGAATATGTAATTGTTTGCTTATTGCATAGTGCTTTTAATAAACATTTTAAAATTTCTTACACTCTTCTGTTACAGATAGAAGGAGGGAAGAAAGTGATGCATCAATTAATCGACAAAGAGGAGCCAAATGATCAAGATCCATCAGGGTCACAAACAAAGAAATGTATAAATCAAATCTTTGACGAAATGTTTGAGGATCAGGTCAGGAGGGGTAAGAAAATAAGTCGGATCATGAGGTAAGGTTTAAAGTCGTGGCATTTTTAAAATTACAAAAACAAATTTTAAGCTATTGTTTTAAATTTATTTTGTTAAACCAAAAAAGGGAAATATGCATAATTTATTAAACGACGAAAGATATGTAATTGTTTGCTTATTGCATAGTGCTTTTAATAAACATTTTAAAATTTCTTACACTCTTCTGTTACAGATAAAAGAAGGGAAGAAAGTGATGCATCAATTAATCGACAAAAAGGAAACAAATGATCAAGATCCATCAGGGTCGCAAACAAAGAAATGTATAAATCAAATCTTTGATGAAATGTTTGAGGATTTAGACAACTCATCTATTAAATCGTGTATCATATTCAAAGTAAACGTGTGGCTACGTGAATCAAATCCAGATGCTTATACACCAAAAATGGTCTCTATTGGTCCTTATCATAAGAAAAATCCTCAACTTGGTCCAATGGAAAAGTACAAGCTATTGTACCTATGGCGATTTCTTCAACGAAAAGAGGGGCTTGATGTGAAAAGTTGCATCACTTATTTGGAGCATCTGAAGGAGGAAGCACTAAAGTGTTACGATGATATAAAAGACCTCGATACTGATGGTAGTCATGAATTTTGCAAAATGTTATTGCTTGATGGTTGTTTTGTGGTTGAGTTTATTCGAGAGTGTTCTGAAATATATCCAAAAGGAGAAGAAAAAATTATCAGTTTTGTTGATTACAAATTTAATCAAATACTCCGAGACTTGTTGTTACTAGAAAACCAACTTCCTTTCTTTATCCTCGACTGGCTTCATTTAATTACCATGCAAGATGATGATGATGAATTGTCATTGGAAGAACTATCGATCACTATGTTTAGTCGTGTTGTTAACTTGGGATATATATTGACTTGTGATGAATACCATTTGAAGAGATGTCGAATTTATGCAAGTGATATGAAACATTTACTTCAAGTAGTACACGGTGTTTCATGTCAAAGGAATTTCAAGATATGCTCAAACGATGACATAAAGTGGAATAAGGTCATGCCAAATGCAACAGAGCTTTCTGAAGCTGGAGTTAGCTTTGCAAAGGTCAGTAATATGACAAGTTTATTTGATATAAAGTTTGAGCATGGATTGATGACAATACCTTCTCTTCATGTGGTAGATAGTACGGAAACCCTCTTGCGAAATCTCATTGCTTATGAGCAACAATCAATTGATTTAGAATATTTATATTTCAGTGATTATGCAACTTTCATGGATCATCTTATCAACTCAGATAAAGATGTGAAATTACTTCGCCGTAAAGGAATCATAAAGAGTTGGATAGGAGATGACAAAGAAGTAGCTAGCATCTTCAACAAAATGAGAAATGGGGTCCGTTCTTATTCAACCTTCTATTACCACGAACAGTACACAAGAGCATTTCAACATTGTAAAAAACCATGGAGCAAAATGAGGGCAAATGTGATGCACAATTATTTTAGTAGGTCTTGGGCAAGAGCTTCAGTTGTGGCAGGCATTATACTCTTCATACTCACAACTATACAGACTATTCTAGCTATCACAAGTGCCGTTAAGTAAGTAATAATTGTCTCAATTGTAGTGTTTGATGAGCTTATAATTATGAGTTATCAGTTTTTCATCAATTCTACCTACTCTCATTATATGTTTAATATAATTTGTCATTAATTTAACAAATTGTTGCTTGAACACACACTTGTTACTGCCAAACAGAAGCTCTCCAATATGTTTTACTCTATTGTCTATTGTCCACTTGACTTCTATATTGCATGATATACTACACCAAAAACGATCTTTAGCGATAATTAATTAGCGGTTATAGTTTCATTCCTGCTAAATATATATTCTTCTAGAGGCAATTACTAACGACAATCACATTTTACCATTCTATGTAAATATAATTTAAGGCTACAACAACATTGAATCTAATGACAATTAACTAATGACGATAAAAAAATTCACACTCTTTTTTAATGTGCAATTGACGATAAAAGTTTTTTTTGTTACCATGAATGCAGATCTGTTTGCAATCTGAGCAGCATGTCCACAATGTGCAAATAAAATTAACTCTATACATTCTCAAGTAATTTCCCTAGATAGTCACCCATGTTTGGGAAATTACCTAGAAATATCACTTATGTTTGTTTTAGCCTTCTCTATGGACACTTTCGTTTCACTTGGGGATGGTAATAGACTGGGACGGGTTTAAATATTTTTTTTTTCAAAAATTCATGTGGAGCGGGACAGGTTGCGGGTTTGGGATAAAAATTATTTTAAATTGATGATTTACACAAATTCTCGTACCAATTTGGCACCTGTTTGGGCACTAGTCATATGAGGAGTTAAGAGTTGTTAATTAAGTAAGAATGAAACTGAATGGATATTTATGAAAAAATTGTTTTGAATGGCCAAAAAAAAACTAGAAAGAAAAAAAGAAGGTATGTTACTACTTGCATTCGATATTTGTTTATTACATCACATGTAACTAATACAAAATTATAAAAAAAAATTGTTATTGACATGTTTAAAAGAGTAACATAACATTGCATTGTAATGCTAAGCTAAAATATTGATTTTAGTGGTTAAACAAAAATATTAAGCAAATAAAAAAATTAAATATTGGATCCGATGAGTCCAGGGGTAGAGCTAGATGGGGGTTCGTGGGTTCGGACAAATCCCACTAGCTTTTCCGTAGACTCTATATTTGTATTAGAAAATTAAATAAATATATATCTATATTAACTTGTAAACCCCTTTAGGATGGGCAATGAAAATGATTCTCAAGGTTGTGGGATCATGTTTCTTTTTTCTCTTCTATCCTAAACTTTAGAACTCCCAAACTTCTAATCCTGGATCTGCCTCCGGGGAATAACAATTAATTAATACCAATAAAAATTAAACACACTTTGTTAATGTACATTATTAATTATCGCTAAATATTATTTTGTTATAGCGCACCCCGTTTGCCATCCCTAATTCGGCTAACAAACTTTTACTAATTCTCACACACACCACGACCAAAAAACAAAGAAGAACAATATGAGTATTTGCAGTTTTGCACATAGTGCAGTACGAACTATGGTTAATTATTAAAAATTGTGTAACCATATTATTTATTTATTTATTTATCTTAATATAAATTACAAATATTGAATATGAATAAAAAAAAGTTTTATCGCTCTACCCTATTAATTACTAGACTGATCAATATTGGTACAGTGCATTTAAAGGAGAGTGTGGTTTGATGGGAATGAGGTGAAGTGAGTGATTATTGCTCTTTTCGTATTATTTTATTCATGTTGATTTGACACTCTTTTTAAAATTATTAAGAGTAGTATAAAAAAAAAAAACTATTTTAATTTGTTATAATAGTAAAGTTAAATAATAAAATTATTTATAATATAAAAATTAAGTAAAATAAAATAAAGTAGTACATCAAAATGAAGTAAACATTTAAAAACGTGCTTCTTTCTTTTGTAATTATGAATAAGAATTCTGGACATAGGCATGCAATGCATGAACTGTATAATAAATTATTAATACTGGACAGCTTGCAAAATTAAGTTTTACACCTAACTTTCTATTTGCACCGAAAGTGAAATATCTGGGAATATAAAACACACTCCCTCCATTTTAGATTAGATTTTTTCCATTGTTCAAAATAATTGAATTGTTTAAAGTTTAAGATAAAATATTATTTTTTTATAATTATCTTTTTCTTTAATGAGTTTGATATTTTCTTGGAGATATATTACATTACTTGCAAAGTTATATTTATAATTTCATAATTGATTGTAATGGAAAGTATAATTTAAATTATGTACTTAAATGTTTTTAGATCTTAATAAGTGTACAGTAACTCAGAAATTCAGTTAACATGAATTAATAGAGGGAGTACAGTAATAAATTATTGATAGTGGACAGCTTGTAAAATTAATTTTTACACCTAACGTTCTAGGGAGAATTGGCAAAATAGTCACTCTAAAGACTTAATGTGACATTAAGTTACAAGTCTTGAATAATTTGTGGTAGATCCACTATTAATGACATCATCCATATGTCCTAATTGACACATACAAAAGACCTCCCTAAGTTTTCATATCTCCACTTTGGTCCCCCCCCCCTTCCAATAAATATGGAATAATATATTTATTTGCAATTGTTAAAATTTATATTAGAAAAAAGTCTCCAAACAGAAACAAGAGCATCTCGTTTTTGCTGCTGTCGATTCCGACGACTTTTCCGATCGTAATATCCATTTTCAAGGTAAAATCATCATCATCTCTTACTCCATCTTCATGTTTACTCCATTTTCTTTCAAAAATCAAGCTTCAAAATTAATTTCCCGCCATTTTATAAATTTGAGAAATCTTCAATAATAATCACTTGATAACTCATTATAGATACATTTTAGTAGTTTAAAAGCATTAAAAATCTGTTTTGCCATTGCATGAGCTGAATTTTGAACCACGATCTCATTCAGTCGCGTTTTGTACGAATGTCGTACTTCATCGATCGTTAACGACTGATACTGTAATCTAGTATCTATCTTTGTAGTTTATAATGGCAGTAGCTGAATTTATTGTTGCTGGTGGTGATTATATAGGAATATGGGAGGAGACTCCCAAAAGCTCGAATTGGAAATCTTTTAGTAAGACGACAGTGCCCATTGCGTTGCATCGCAATGGTTCATATGACAATATGATTGCGATACCATTTTTCGGTGCGGAACAAGAAAAATACAAGATTCGGTAACAACAAAAGAGATAAGGAGATTGGTATTAAATATATTAAATTTTACATTTACAATTGAAGTAATAAAAACTGATAAGAATGTTATTGCAGATTACCTATCACGACAAAGCTACTCAGACTGAGACTGAGGAAGAAGATACAATCGAAAAGATACTCAAAGTTATTACTACACTTTGTACAAAAGTGGATAGTGCGAGATACAAAAGCTAAAGACTAATGAAGTTAATCTGAAGTCTAAAGCTAGTCAGCATCATGACTATAAAAATGCGGAGCTACGTCGATCGGAAGACGGAAAAAACCCAGAGTTAAAAGGAGACGATGGGAAACTCCTTAAAACTCATAATGTTTGTTTAATTACAGTTGCAGGTACAAGCAAACAAGTTAGCGATAAACAACATAAAAATGCAAACTTAAACCAGCTATTCGCAAAACCATTTACCCAAAGGACACCTAGACATATGTCCATAGAACCACAAACATCTACATATGCAGATAATTTGCAAAACCAAAATGAGAAAAAGACATATAACTACATCACACGAACCTATATCGAAAATATACACAAAATCCAAACTTATTTAAACCGCAACCCCATATCAACTACAAAAGAACCAAACCAAGATTATTTGACACAAAAATTACAAGGATATAACAAGTTAATTGCACGGCCAAAAACTAACGCTAATTTAGTAAGAACATGTTACAACTACGGACTGTTAAATACCGCATACAAATACGACGAAGAAGAAGTTAGTGGAATACCGAAGCTACACATAGCATTCGTCACATACAAAAGAGTTACAAAAAGAAATTTATTTTATATAAAATTCTATACAGCACCAGCAGAGATATTATACGAGGAAATAAAACCTCCAATATAGGTTATCAAGATAGGACTGACTAAAGATATGATTATACCCGAGGACATCGGACAACAAGAAGAGATATGCAAAATAGAGATACCAAGTTTTTATGCTTACAAAAGAATAATTGGTATATCAACTATCATACAGGAGCTAGCAAATAATTATTTAAACGGAAACGCTATATGGAGCTACTATGCAAGAGATCAGTTAATGATTTATTCCAATTCAAGGGAGCTAAGGAAAGCAGATATGGATGAAGTCCAGAGATGGATTTTATCATTACTTAAGCCAGAAGAACGACCTACAACACGAGCACTAAAAGTAGAATTTATTTCGGCAGAGTTATTAACGAGATATTACAAGCTAATTGATCACAAATACCCTGACCAAATATGTTCGAAATGCAACGGAGAAGATAATAAAATCCCAGACGTCCAGCTGGAATAAGAGATAAAGACGGAAGATAAAAGAAGATAAAAGGAAACACAAAAACGTGCTTAGCCACACAAAGCCAAAAGTAGATATGTAAAAGTCTTGAAATAAATAGTAGTCACATTATTAGGTACAAGTTAGTAGAAAAACTTAGTCAACATATGCATGTGCATTATTAAAGATATGTTGACAAGTGTAAAGTATGGGTAGTATGTATTATTAAGAAGACAAGTGTGTATACATGTCGTAAATAGGATAGTGATAGACAAAATAAGAACTATTCATGAATAGTAGTCATGAATAGTATTAGAGTGTGTATTTCTATATATAGACGTAGTTATAAAACTTTGAAAGGCAGGCAACGCCTAAATAAAAATCCCCTCCTTTCAAAAACTCTCTTAAGATACTAAATACTTAAAAGTTAATGGATAAATCTGAAATCCAATCAGATATTTCAGATAGCATGGCTAAGCAAGAGGCAAAGGTATATTGTTCAAAAAATATGCG